TGAACTGGTGGTTACCATTTGCCAGGCACTGGGCTAGACATTTCGTGTGTTTTAATATTTATCCATACAGTAACCCCACAAAGTAGCTTACAGACAAGGAAGTTATGGTATAAAGAAGTCCTCAAACCTAAATATCTTCAAACAGGTAATTTAAAGGTCTCATATGGCATAGTAAAGACAATAAGGAACTGTTGTTGTTGTTATGTGCCGTCGAATTGGACCCAACTCATAGTGACCCCTCCTTGGGTTTCTGAGGCAGTATCCCTACGGAAGTAGATTGCCCAACCTTCCTTCCGAGGAGCGGCTGGTGGATTTGAACCGCCAGCCTTCAGATTAGCAGTCAAGTGACTTAGGCACTACGCTACCAGAGCAGACTCAAAAATATACACATCTGTCATAATCAAGAAAGAATAAACTGTATTGGCTAAACGAAAAATATCAAATGCTCAGGTTAGTAAGTGGTGGAAGCAGGCTTAGAACTCTTCCAACTATTCATTGCTGTCTCTCTGGATATGTAATAGAATTGAAGCAGGAAATGAGTTAGGAGGTAATGCAATAACCTCTGGGTAAATGATAGGCATCTAGGCGAAGGCACCGTTAGTGGGAAAGAGAGGGAAAAATATAAAAAATACCCCCCAAAATAAATAAATAATAAAAGTAAGAATCTTTGCATATAAAAGTGAATGTGCCAGAAGATGAGCCCCTCAGGTTGGAAGGCACTGAAAACAGTGGAAGAGCTGCCTCCTCAAAGTACAGTCAACCTTAATGATGTGGCTGGAGTAAAGCTTTCAGGACCTCAATCTGCTGATGTAGCATGACTCAAAATGGGAAAAAACAGCTGCAAGTACCCATTAATAATTGGAACATGGAGTATACAAAGTATGAATCTAGGAAAATTCAAAGTTGTCAAAAATGAAATGGAATGTGTAAAGATTGCTATCTTTGGTATTGCATTAGTGAGCTGAAATGGACTGGCTTTGCCATTTTGAATCAAACAACCACATGATCTACTATGCTGGGAATTACAAATCGAAGAGGAATGGTGTGGCATTCATCATCATCACAAAGACTGTTTCAAGATCTATCCTGAAGTACAATGCTGTCAGTGATAGGATAATATCCATATGCCTATAAGGAAGACCAGTTAATACTAATACTATTCAAATTTATGCACCAACCACCAAAGCCAAAGATGAGGACAATGAAGATTTTTACCACCCTCTCCAGGCTGAAATTGACCAAACATGTAATCAGGATGGGTTGATTATTATTGACTGGAATGCAAAAGTTGGAAACAAAGAAGAATCACCAATTGTTGGAAAATAAGGGCTTGGTGACAGAAATGATGCTGGAAATTGCATGATAGAATTTATTTATTTATTGAATAACAGAATTTTGCAAGACCAATGGCTTATTCATTGCAAATACCTTTTTCCAGCAACATAAATGATGGCTATACATGTGTGCTTCACCAGATGGAATACTCAGGAATCAGATCCATTACATCTGTGGAAAGAGGCAATGGAGAAGCTCAATATCTTCAGCCAAAACAAGGCCAGGAGCTGACTGGAACAGACCATCACCTGCTCATATGCAAGTTCAACTTGAAGCTGAAGAAAATTAAAACAAGTCTACAGGAGCTAAAATAAGGCCTCGATTATATCTCTCTGGAATTTAGAGATCATCTAAAGAGTAGATTTGATGCACTGAACACCAGTGACTTAAGCCCAGATAAACTATGGGAAGACATCAAGAACATCATCCATGAAGAAAGCAAAAGGTTATTAAAAGACAGAAAATGAAGAAAAGATCAAAATGGATATCAGAAGAGCCTCTGACACTTGCTCTTGAATGGAGATTCAAGCAAACGGAAGAAATGACAAGATAAAAGGAGCTGAACAGAAGATTTCAAAGAGCAGCTCTAGAAGACATAGTCAATTATTATAATGAAATGTGTAAAGACCTGGACTTAGAAAACCAAAAAGGAAGGATACACTCAGCATTTCTCAAGCTGAAAGAACTGAAGAAAAAATTCAAGCCTCGAGTTGCAGCAATACTGAAAGAGTCTATGGGTGAAAACAGGTATGAACTGTTGAATGGGAAATTTTCTTTGTAAACTTGCACCAAACCACAATAAAATAAAATAATTCAAATGTAAAAAACACATCACTAATAATTATTAGATGTTCTAGGTATATTTTAGGTACAGACTAATCCCATTATTAAAGTTTACTAACATAATCAATGACAATGCAATAGTTATTTATGAAACTTTTTTCTAGGACCCGCCGCTAGAGTAAAGGACTAAGCTCATATACTGATTCCAATCTACCAGGTAAGGAGCCCTCATAGTGAAATGGTTAGGTGCTCAGCTGCTAACCAAAAGGTTGGCAATTCAAACCCATCCAGCAGCTCCGCAGGGTAAAGAATGTCTGAAAGAAAGAGCTGCTTCTGTAAAGATTACAACCAAGAAAACTCTATGGGGCAGATCTACTCTGTCACATGGGGTCACTATGAGTTGGAATCTAATAGAAAGCACCGAAAAAGAACAATACAACAATATAATCTACCAGTTCATGTTAACTATAAGGCTGAAACAAATCTTGTTCCAACAAGTTTAACATAAGCCTTAATTCTTTCCTGAACCCAATTTTTAAAGTCTTAAACTTGCAGGTGCAAGTTAACTCCAGTGTGACAGAATGGGTGCTGCCAAACCTTCCTATTAAGCTACAAGCTCAATCTTAGGACTAGACTAGACTCCAATTGCAAGCCTTACCAGACTAGGAATCAAGTTCTTCTTACCTTTTCCCCCTTCATTTTATTTGCTTATTTTTAATAACACAACTAATATTTTAATTGATCATCAAAACATAAAACTAGAACCTTTAAAATAAGTTCTGTATTTACCAGTGTGCTCCCTCCCTATCCATTTGTCTGTCTTTCCTCTTCAAGGTTACAAGTTTTCATTAAAAATAATACTGGATGTTTTTCAAATTGTTGTACTATGTTATGACAGATTATAAACAATATTATTCATGAAACCGGCATTAAAAAGCAGAGTCTGGTAAAAACAGTAAATTAAACAGTGGCAATTAAAAGGGGCACAGTGATTTTATAAAACAATTTAGGAAAAGTATACAAAAAGCCATGAAATATTATTTCTAACTTCATAAGCACATCCCTACAGTAATCAGTCTCAAAGAAATAATCTAAAATATGGAAAAAACAATATGCAAGAATCTTCATTACTGTATTACTGATAATAGGGAAAAGCAGGAGAAAATATAAATGTTTAGTAACAAAGAAATGACTGAATAAAGAATGCTATGTCAAAGCTAAGGTCTATCCCTTTCTTACGCAGAGCAATATAAGATTTTTAATTTGAAAACTGTCATAATATTTTAAATGCTTTTCAAATTCACAGAACCTAGCTCCTTATTCTTAATATAATTTAGAATGTTAAATTAAAAAATGAAGGATGACAACTATGACCAATGTAAGCAAGTTATACACTGTAAGGTGTGGACTGACAGATCTGTTTTATAACATGCTTCAAAGTCATAGTAAAAGATAAAGAAAATGCTATGAACTATGAAATAAAATTCTTGATAAGTATATCAATGGAAAAATATTTTCTGGGTAGCTAGACAACATAAATATTTCCTTTGAAAGCAAGAATTTAATACTGAAAATTATAAACTGGAAACATTTTTAAAAAGCAAAATACCATTAAATAATAAATGTATAATATGGAAATGATAGAGAACCATATTAATTAACTTTATCCTATAGTATATCTATTTGTGAGTCAAAATATGAAAAACCTGGTAGCAAGCAAAATTTGAAGAAATCATGTTTTTGTGAAACAAAAGTTAAAATTAGTAAGATTAATACATAAAATATACATAATTTTTAAAGCAAGATGGAGGAATATACAGACTTATGGTGAAAATTAAAACATTTATCAATCTTCATCCTTAGATGCCAAGGTATTTCTATGAGTGATTCATGAAGCTAGTATATCATTCATACCACTATTCCCAGTCTTTGCACATGGGACCCTTTCAGTAGGCATGCGAGGAGCTAATGTTGGAGATTCCTGAATTAATACACACATGTGTATTTTCTTAAGAGATGAATACTGAAAATAAAACTACCATCATTTGGTACTCTGAAGCTACTTTTGATGTTTAAAATAGAGTTCTCATTTCTTAGTAAGTTGAAATTATGAGCTTTTTACAGATCTTTAGAAGTAAATAATTGTAAGAAACATGTACTATTTCAGTGATATTATTCTAACAACCCTTCCTCAAGCTTTCTCTTAACAACCTATCACTTGAATAAATTACATACATTTTTGAAGAGCATATTAAGGATTCAGAATGAAACCAGTCCTTAGAAAAGGTAACATGGATCTTATACATTTTTTAAAAGGTAAAGTATTTAATGTCTACATGAATCTGAGTATGATGTCGAAAATCAAAGTCACAGCATTATTGTACCACTGAGAAATAAAATAGTCTGATGTAGCAAGAAAAGGCCATGGTAAGTAATTGTCTTGAAATATGGCAGAACTAAGTAGCTTGCATAGATAACCTGAGGGAAATCAGATAGGAATGAATTAGAGCATGTGTCAACCTTGACTATAATTGCAATAAAAAAAAAAAAAAAATCAAAGTAAATCACTCATCTTCTCCTCCCCAATCTCCTTCATACAAAGAAAGAGTAGAGACATTTTGTTTTCATGAAATAATAATAAAAATTAAAACTTAAAATTGATGCCAGTTTTATAAATAAAAAGGCAATGAAGGACCTTTTAGCATTGTACTGCATCAATAAATATCTCAGGTAATATACATAACATCTAGATCACATAAATTTGTGGGGATATATGAAAATATGAGTTTTTCTTCTTGACCTCCTTATAGGCATCCTATCAGCTTAGGATTTATTTAACTGTCACTGTTTTCATTTAATAAAAGTTAATTATCAACACTCACCAGCAGCTTCAAGAACCAGCTGTAGTCTGGCTTTGGCCTGTTCAGCTGGTGGCTAAAAAACAACAAAGAATAGACATTTATAAGTCAGTATTAACAGAGTTTCAAACTAATGCACTGACATGAAACTATCAGGAAATTTAGATAATTTACTCATAATCAATATTAATATCCAATGACATCTTAAAAAAATTCCATCACAGCAGCTCTAATCAATCTACTTTCCTACATTAGTAGTTAAATCACACTTTTCATTAATAAGATGTCATATCTTTTTTTTAGTAGAAAAGGTTTTGTTTGCTACTCAACATGGCATCAGTCAGCAGTAATATAAATAACTACCATTTTTATCCCTGGGTGAAACAAACAGTTAAGAGCAAGACTATTAACCAAAATGTTGGCTGTTTGAATTCACACAGAGGTGCCTTAGAAGAAACGCTTGGCGATTTATTTCCAAAATATCACCGCCAATGAAAACCCTACAGAGCACAGTTCAATATGTGAAGTTGCGAGGAGTTGGAATTGACTCACTGGCAACTGGTTAAACTATTTCTTTCTTTCTTTTTTTTTTTTTAAATAAGATAAATCCCACACATTTAATAACATATGTTCAAAATGAATTATTTCTTTGCATATGGAAATCCACCAAGTGACCTATTAGAATCTGAACAGTAACTTGACATCCAGTACATCAGGCAATCCATATCCTAAAAGCAAATATCATAGGGAACTCTGGTGGCATAGTGCCTAAAGCATTTGACTACTAAACCAGAAGGCTGGCGGTTCAAACCCACCAGCCACTCCTCAGAAGGAAGACTGGGCAATCTGCTTCAGTAGAGATACCAAACCAAACCAAACCCACTGACGTCAAGTCAGATCCGACTCACAGTGACCCCTCGTTGGATTTCCGAGGCAGTATCACTACAGAAGTAGATTGCCCAAAGTTCCTTGTGAGGAGTGGCTTGTGGGTTTGAACCACTAGCCTTCTGGTTAGTAGTCAAATGCCTTAGGTACTACGTCACCAGAGCTCCTTCTATAGAGATACCGACTTGGAAACCAAAGGACGGGTCGCTCTGAGTCAAATCCGACTTGACAGCAGTGAGTGAGTTTTCCAAACTGTATCTGAAAGGCATACCTGTGTTGAAAATAGAACATTATGTGAGTCCCATGTTTTCAGTTCCTACTAACTGTCCTAAAATTGTTTTTCAGGAAATCCTGATTCAGTACTATTGATAATGTTGAAACTATATTATTTTCTGATCATTAATTTCATTTTGAGATTTTTGGATAATGTACTGATGGTATTCGAACTATAACATGGATTGTATCAAAGTTAAGATCTTTTATAAAAGATCTATTTTTAGTAGTTAAGCCTACCCACAATCCATTTATGAAGATATCAGGAAGTAAAAAAATTATGCCATTTTTATATATGAAAGCCATCATTTGACATATAATAATTCACTATTTGAACATTTCACTATTTGTGAAAAACACCACTTGAATCAAAATAATAACTGGATATAGAAAGAAGATATTGTGCTCTGAAAAGTTTAACTACAGCCCTGGGCCAGCTACCTGGTTTTGTAAATAAGTTCTATTAGAACATAACCACACCCATTATGGCTGCTTTCCTGGTACAATTACAGAGTTGAGTATTTGTGACTGGGACTATATGGCCACTAAAACCAAACCAAACTCACTGCTGTCAAGTTGGACCCAACTCATAGCGACCCCTTCTTGGGTTTCTGAGGTGGTATCACTTCAGAAGTAGATTGCCCAATCTTCCTTCCGAGGAGTAGATGGTGGGTTTGAACCGCCAGCCTTCTAGTTAACAGTCAAATGCCTTAGGCACTATGCCACCAGAGCTCTCATATGGCCAGAAAAGCCTAAAATACTTATTATCTGGACCTTCAAGGAAAAGCTTACTGGAAAAAAAAAAAAAAAAAACAAAGAAGATGGCGAGTCTTTGAAAAATTTTAAGCAGACAGGTGTTATGATCAAATCTACACTTTGAAACACCCTTCTAGCAACACCTTTGAGGATGAAATGAAGTGAGACAGAATGGAGGCAAGGAACCCATTAGGGGATGATTAGAAGAATCCAGGTGAGGGTGAGATGGAGCAGTAGAAGGAAGGTTGGACAGGATAAAGCAGATTTAATTGGCAAAATGAAAAAACTGGATATGAGAGAAGGAGTTGATGACTAAAAGAGAACTCTGTCATATGTTTGCTGGGAAAAATGAAAACATGCTTTATAAAAATATACAGTATTAAAAATATGACATTTCAAATTAAAATATCGTAGCAAACATCAATAGAATATCGTAGTATCTATTGAATATAATCTCTATGCTGTTGTTGTTGTTATGTGCCATCAAGTCGGACCTGACTCATAGGGACTCCTCCTTGGGTTTCTGATGCGGTATCACTATGGAAGAAGACTGCCCAACCTGGTGGGTTTGAATCACCAGCCTTCTGGTCGGCAGTCAAGTGCCTTAGGCACTATGCTACCAGAGGTCCCATAATCTCTGTAACAACAACAGCTATAAACTAAGTACATATGGGGTCAAGCAGTTAACAAAAATATTTATCATGATACATGGCAATCATTGTTTGACATCAGTATCATGGATTCACAGAAAGTGTGGAAAACTGTGTCTCACATGTCCCAGATAAAGAAAACAGCTGATATTCAGCTCCAATTGATATTTTTCATACAGAAATATTAAGACCAGGACTGTAAAACTTGGTGATTTTTTTTTACAAGAATTAAGTCATCATGAGAACCAACACTGTACAAAACAAACACAGGCCACGTCAAGCCCAAGGTAGACAATTTGTGACCTCTACTATATGCTAGAAACCTCATACTTTGTGCAATATATCATAACTAGAATGGCAAAGAAGGAAATTATATTCTGACCAGCAGGTCCTAAGTAAGCTAAGAATTATAAAGTATACATTTCAGAGTATCCTTGTAGGCAATGTCCTTTGACCGAAAAATCTTAAGACACTTTATTAGTTAAAATTCTTCATGGAGGGATTCAAAATGGAGTCTCATCAGTAGGCACCACGCTATTTCCCTCTAGCATCTAAGTGCTTGAAAAACTAGGTACAGCAGTTTGAATTAGGGATTTTGGTGCTCTGAACAGCTCACTGAATCAGAGTGCACCAAACACAGAAGAGCAGATTTAGAGAAAAGTCACAGGGAGATTATTTAAGAAAGAGCTACCTGGCGGAGGATGGACAGGCAGCCAAGAAAGGCCATTGGAAACTTCCCTGGGGCAGTCACTAACTGGCGGGCAAGGGTGGCCACCTGAGATCCCTGAACCAAGAAAGAAGACACCTTATATCAGCATACCAGCGACCACTCCAATATTCCAGCGGGCATTCCCAGTGATCTGCCTCCAGCACCTGATTTTGTTGGTAATTTGGTCATCTGGGTGCAGGAGGGTGCACGCTCCACCACTGAGATTCAAGCGGAGAGCTCACTATTGCGCCAGGAAGGCGGGTCACTGAGTGGGCTTGGGTCAGCCTGGAAGACATCATGTTTATCTTTGTCATGGATATCGGGACCACAGTTCACTATCAGGTACTCCCCCGTCTCTAACACAGCTGAAATTGCGTGCATCTTTGGTCCCGCAGGTGGGCGGTATCACAAACTCCAGAGCCAGCCAATAGTGGTCTGGTGGGATTGCGTCAGTGCTGTGGGCAGACAGGGTGCGGAGAGAGAGGAAGCCGTGGCTGAGGCGGTCCTGGGAATTTGCCTTGGATCGGCTCTTTGGTGCTGTGGGGCCTCGGAAGCAGGGTCATTGAGTGTGCTTGAGCCTGACAGAAAGTTGGAACTCCCTAACAATAGGAATCTTTTCTGAGATTGAGCTGCAGTCTTGTAAATAACTACGTCATCAATAATAGCCTGCACAAAGCCCTAGAAACTGACCCTAGCAACACCAAGCTTTCCTTCTTCTGCTCCCACCTTCTTCGCCAATAACTTCACTCATTCAATAGAAGAAACCATATTCAGCCAATTACCATAAAACCTCCCACTTTGAACTCTAAACCCTCTTTACAACAAACAGAAACACATATCCACATTCCACACAGTGATTCCACCATCACAAAGAAAACAGCAGAGCGACCCAACACACCTGAATCAATAATAAAATAAAATATACCAGCCCTACCTTGACAAAATATTAAACCATAATACCAAGACAAAACAAATAAACACATAACCAGAAGTTAGAGACAACCTAAAGAGACAGCGCTCTACCAGATTACAGGGACTGAAGAAGAGGTAACCCCAAGAACTCTCCAGACATGCACGACTGAAAATGTCCTAGTTTACAACACCTTTTTTTTTTCTTTTCCCAGTTTCTGATTAAATTTTTTTTTTGTCTTTGCCTTTTTTCCCCCTTTTCTTTTTCTTGTGGTTAACCCCATTCCTTGTGGGATTTTTTTTTTTTT